GCACGTACTGTTTGCGTTTTCTTACCTGGATATGTTGTCCGACATAACGCTGTTCATTACATTTTTACACTAGCACTCCACTATATGTTACCAGCTGGCGGCCTGTATGGATCATGAAGCCGCCACTGTAGATATCCTCAGCGACCACGCCATATTGGCCCCTCCTCTCCCCTCCCCCTTAAACTACCGTTATGGTTGAGTGCTTGGGTGGGGAAGACAGAGTTAGGATGTTTCAAGGCTGAGTGCTGTAATATATGCATTGTTTCGTTCCCTCGGGCGTTGAAAATCGTGTTAGTGACTTTTTAGTATACCCTTTTTAGAGGCATAGAATTGTACGCCAGCCCACTCGTTCGACTCTTACTGATTTTATTTTTATGTCTGACCACCGGTAAGCCACAGGGTAGGCCACAGGGTAGGCCTCAGGGTAGGCCACCTCACGTTTTGTCCACACCGAGAAAAGGTTTATTGGTGTGTAATAGCGTTACTATTGAATACTTAATTGTGTTGTAAATCTACTTTCCTGAGTAAAAGCAAACTAACTAATCGCGAGTGTTGTATGGTAAGTCTACTATCTTGATCACTGAATGAAGGACAGTTGAATTCGAGAAATGAAAGGAGTTACTTGACCAATGAATAACTCTACAATACACACGGCGACACGCTGGGCAAGCCGGAAAGCAAAAGGCAGTCGATCGTTAAAAGGTGTTAATAGGCATGTGCGACTCCCGCCATTCGCTTGCACTTTTAAATCTTCTGACCTGTAAGCTCAGCTGTTATTAGGATATCATTTAACGACTTCCGTTTGCGATGTGATAGTAAGGGTTAGTTGAAAGGTGTCATTTCCCCATCTGTAAAGCCGGATGAGATTGTGTTACAAAAGGTAATGTTTTCAGGTATGCTCGCTAATTAATTTTGCTTTCAAGTATATTGTCTATCCCGAAGAAAATAACTCCAGAGATACGTCTCTCAAAACCATTTTCTAGGTATTCTCTATTCTTTAAACATATTTGGAACTCTGTGCGTTTTTTGTTAAACGTTGAGCGTGACGAATTTGGTCTAAGGGTGCAGTTTCGATTCTTTCTGAATGTCTTCAGTTGCCTCCTAATAACGAATTTGTCACGGAGGAATAACAGGAGTCGCGCAGGACCGCAAACACTTTTTAACTTTCGAAGGAACAGCAACAGACGGTGAACCCCCATTACATTCCACGTTTATTCACGCTTGTTGCTTGTTCATTCATCTTGCTGTCACCAAAAATGTTCACTCGACCGCGACGGGATGCAAATTACTCTCGTTTCATTTTACGACCATGATTCAACGCAATTAGAGTGCGAACATCGCCTTGTTACATGGAGAAGTCCAAGATGAAGAAGGCGTTCTCCGAAACTGTTAAAAAGGTTACTGGATCAGAGGATAAACGCAAGTAAGGCAAACATACAGGTGACTTAGCCCAAAAAATTCCATTTGCGGCCAAATATTTGGTTACACAGTGAGGTATGAGCTTCACAAAGTGGGAATAATTCTAGGAATTTTCCGTATTGGTGTACTTAACGGTCCCAGTGGGCCTCCTTTTCTCTAATTTTCTATTTGAATAGCACAGCAACAAGTCTCAGAGCTCTGTCATGATATCAGTGCTCTGTTAACAGCTGAGAATGTAGACCGAATCGGGATACACCAGTCCATCCTTTCGATCGGCCTCTCGGCCCGAATTGTTTATTTACCCAATTTTGTCATCGTTCGAATATAATGCGAAACCTCTCTACTTCTAAACTTTCCATGGTGTAAGTTTACTGGTTATGAGTATATATCCATATTTTCCCTATGCTCTACAGTTTTAAGATTTTATCATAAGTCCTCTCTCTTCGCTGGTGTCGGGGAAAGTAAGCTTTAAACTGGATTGATGAAAACAGGAACTGAACTATGCCGCCATAACACTATTATACTAGCTTACTAAGGACAGCAGCTGGTCAAAACTTACGACCCTTCAAAAAATTAGAGGAGAATGATGCGTGATCCACGTTATTTTACACATTTGCGAATCTGTCCAAATCTTTGCCAAAATATTCTAAACCGGAAAGATTTTTTAGGCCAAATCCACCGATTCACCAACGATCACCAACCTAATAATCATTATTTTAATAAGTTCCTGCGTTGCCCATTATGTCATTCATCGTCTAGTTATTTCTGACAAGAAATGAATAAAGATCAGTGGATTAAAATCGATGTAATCATACATGCATTTAGCTGGAAAACTTGTATATATATATATGTATAATTAAGAGAAACAATTGAAGACATCAAAAGGCACAAATTATATATATGTATGTATATACATATATATATATGTATGTATATAAATATATATATATATATATATATATATATATATGTATATACATATATATACAATATATGTTTATAGATGTATGTCAGTTTTTTTCAATTTTTGACTTGTATGTTCCATTTGGCAACTTAACATTGACTCTGAAATAGCATTCCCTTTCACAAGTATCATAGACGATTAGGACTTAACTTGGTTACAACTCCTCCGGCTAAGATCCAAATGGCTCTTTGGCTTGAGATCGCTCACTGAGGGTGATGAGAGGTTTTTATAGCTAGTTTCCAGGAAATATTGACATTGTATTGGAAAAAGAATGTGTACAGAAAAAAATTTTCGTTTAGTGATGTGTTATGAGCCTTGTAGGAAGGGAAGAATCTCAAATTTTGGGTTAAGTGTGCCCTTCTCCTAAAGTCTCAAAGCGAAGTTATAGCCTCATTCAGTGTTCAGTCTTCTTTGATGAATGTATATTTCTTTTTTTCACTTTTCTGAACATTAAACCAACAATGTGAGTAGTGGGTCACATGTACTGATGAAATCAATTTGTTTCAATGTTATACAGGAGAAACTGACAGGAATGATTCACTGCAAACACACTACTCAGGTAAAGAGTGTGAGTGAAATAAATGTAATGCAGTCTCAGATCAGGGAAGTTGTATATAATTTGAAGGAAAACTGTGGCCTAGTTCGAGTGCTATTTTATCCAAGGGAAAGAGGAAGCATTCATTCTGTCAGTATAATGACTATAACCATGACTTTTTCTCCCAGGCATCTAGGTAAACCATGGTAATTTCCAGAGGGCTAAGATACTGAAAAGATCAATATACTCCTGTGACTGTGGGGAATTTTTTTTTTTTTAAACTCAGGTGAAATGAAAAAGAAGGGAAAGAAGAAGAAAAAGAAAAACAGGCTGGAGCTTGACAATCTATCTCACTTGTTTCAACTTCAGGCCTACCATAATTTACCATTCTCTTACAATTTGGAACATTTTTTGTATGCTGTTTTAAAAAATCATCAATGTTTTGAGTTCTGTGTAGACACACTTTTCCAGGAATGGAAAGACCTTCAATAAAATTACAGTTAGGTCTAAAGTCAATCACCAACGGCTGGTGATTTTAAACCTGATAAAAGACTGCTGCTTATTTATGAAATATTACACTTGTAAGTAGTATTTGGAAAAACCTTGAGTCTGTTAATGTAACGTTCAACTTAAGAGATTTCAACATTAAAACACATATTTGCTAGAAACATGGACATAACTAATCTCAAATTGATGAAAAGTAACACTGAAATTTAATGCTTAGTTTCATTCACGAAACAAGTCTTTTTCATTACTCCTTCCCCTTTCTTTCTGCCCATGGGATCTCATGTTTCCCCTGTTTTCTAGTAAATTCAGCCCATGTTTTGCAGCTGGGCCCAGTGTTGTCACCATAAGCTTAAACTTTGAGCTGATCAACCCAGCAGCCAGAAAAAAATTTTAACTTCCTCACTGATGATGTCTTGATCCTTGTTTTTATTTCCACATTTAACAATTCCTTGCTTACTTTTTTGATCCCCAGAAAAGGATGTAAGGAGGAATTTTTTAGATGGAGGAATTTTTTGGATGTAGAAAAAAAAATTTTTCTTACATGATTGTTTTGACAGCTTCTGGTCCAACCCACATGACTGGGAGATCTGTCCAGGATGGTCTCCCCAGCACAAGCACAAGCGCAAGAGGATCAGAAGATGATATGCCTCTAAATGGCAGCAATTCTTTATTAAGTAAAAGTGAACCTTGTAAAATGTTTGAAAAATACACCCACCACTATCTAATGATGTATTAGCTCAAGGTTGTTGACCAATGAATTACCGTCTAACAACACCTGCTCTTTACGTGACTTTACATCGTAAAACTTTGGATACCTCCCTACTGAAAGTGTCAAAAAACATCATGTCAACTTTGGGGAAAGGAAGGAATGAGTTTACCTCTCCTAATGCTGTAAGAGCAATATGGCCTATGCACCACTATCCTAAATGGTTAAGTTGAATACATTTATGTATCATATCAAGTTTTCAACATCAAATGGGAGAATTGTACTTGGTCAGGAGAAATGCTTTCAGTAGGTTACATGATTTTTATTTTTCAAGGCGTGTATCTGTTGATCACAACAATCTTTGACTTGGGTTTTCTAGTCCTAGGGAAAATGTCTTCAAAATTAATAGTTTTGCGTCGCCTATTTGCGACTGCGGTGTTGACTCTGAATCAGTGAAACATTGTTCCTTGTATTGCACAAGGTATGCCGCTCAACGTAATGTCCTCCTTACCTCTGCTGCCAGTAACATGACACATGGTCTTCGAGCGGCGATGCAAGGATACTAAACTATTTAATGTAAGGTGTCGAGTCTGTAAATTACGATGTCAATTGTGCTTTTTTTCCGCGAAGTGCAAATTTTATAATTAATACTAATCACTTTTCAATGGCCATTGTTTGATTGTTTAAATAATATATCCCTAGCTATGTAGGTTTAACTCGTTGTTATTACAATTTGTGGGTGTTGTCTGTGTGTGTATTCGTGTGAGCTTGTATAAATTAAATTAAAGTTTATATATTCACCCTAAGCGAGCCTAAAAAAAAGGTTGTGTTCATTAGTGGTGGTTACGAATGTTTTTTTTCCCCATTAACAACAAAGAGGGCAACCTGTTCTGACAAGCTTCATTTCTTTCCTGTTTATAGATGAATGTAACATAGTGGAGGATGAGAGGCCAGGCGTTGAGGCTAACAAGAAGATCAACAAAGAGAGCAGTGGAATGAATCAGATGGATAATGCCGCAGCAGACCTAAAAAGTGCCAACGATAATGATTCAAATGCAGATCAGGCTAAAGTGACTGTCACTGGGCGATCTTTTAAAGTCGCAGATATTCCAATTAAAGTGAAGAGTAAAATCTGCCTTAAACTTAATGTAGAAGATAAGTATTATTTTAATGATTATCGCCTACTTGGAGAGAAAATGGGAATTGATCAAGATGTTATAAAAAATTTAAAACGGTCAGAAAATCCTACCGATGATCTTCTTGACCTGTGGTCTGTTAAGCGTGAGGCAACTGTAGAGAAGCTCATAGAGTTTCTTAGAGAGGATGATATGGATAGAGACGATGTTGCAACCATTCTTGAAGACTGGGTGAAAAAAGAGATTTCAAATATTTGAGGTATTGACAATTTTTATTATTTTTGCTTAGGGGTTTTTGTTTTTCTCTAAGAAAAAGCTATGTTCATTTAATAGTGTTTTACATTATGTTAAAATAGATATTAAAATCCTTTTTTGTTTTTATTTGTCAGTGTCTGGTTATGTTATTTTTAATCTAGTCCTTTAGAACTAAAACCGACTTGATTACTGTGATTGAGCTCTTTGCTAGTTTCCGTTGCTCCCCCCTGGAGTCGTTTTCCCCCGTTCTGATATCCCACTGTGATTAAATTTCTTTTGGTTTCACGACACGAAATTCGAAATTACTCATTTTGCCTCTAGCATATATAATATTTGCCTTCTCAAGATCTTCAGCTTTTAAGTTTGTTCGCAAATATTTGCAAATCTTTTGCGTATCAAGCGATTGAAGGGTCCTGAGGGCAAAAAAAGCTTTCCGTGGAGAAAACCTTTTGCCTGCATTCCATCAAAGTTGCAACAAGAGAAATTAATGGGACAGAAGGGGAAAATTGGGGCGTTGGTTGTGATATGTGAATTTCACCTAAATTACGTTAGCTTGGGGTGGAGAGCATTGTGGTTTCCTAATGTCGTTTCTTGTTGTCGAAGTTAATTTGTTTTTTAAAATAACCATTCTCGTCGCTGTTTCTCAATACATCAATCTCAAAGGCGACTGAGGCTCACTGAAAGAGAACGGATTTTCCGCGAGCAAAAGGACGTATGCAGAACGATAAGCAAATGCATGACATGTGCAAGTAAACAGTTACACAACATTTGTTTCGCACTAAACGAAACGTGACTCTCGTCTGGCAGCGAAAAGCATTAGATTCCATCCACCAAAACCACCTCGGTCGAGAGGGACTGAGATGGAATATTTAATGACTTGCAAAACATAACCGAAGATTCTCGGAAATCCGCAAGTGATGTAGCCGAACATCCGAAGCTGTAAATCCCATGATTCTTGAGGAACAAACAAAAACAGCATAGCGAGAATTTTAAGTCGCGAACCATTGCTTGATGGTAGACATGCAGATAATTTAGGATACGTCAATTCTGTTGATGAGGCGCATAAACTTATTGCGGAATTTGAAACAGGATTGACGACGAAGTTTTCTTTCTCTAAAGCTGTCAAAGGTTTCGGGAACACCGGTGTATATATATATATATTGATATAGCTCTTTGGCATTACAAAGCTTTGCTATAGCTATTGTGCATTCTCACTAGTTTATCTAGTTCAAGTCCTCTGGCATGGCTTGGATGATACCACAATTGTGGAATCATTCGGGTTAACTTAATGCTTACACCTCCTTCCTTGGACAGAAGTCACAAAATACTCGGGGAAGATGCATGAGATATTTAAGGAGCAAAAGTTCGTTTTTTACTGGTGTGCCTTTCCTAATTTTGGGAAGGAAAGTGTTCAATTGGCAGCACGGCATAGATAGAACAGCTGGGGAGAAAAGGAAACGAAAAGATGCAGAAGAAGTACTGTATATAATAATTTCTTTTTATCCTCAACCTTTGTGTTACTGTCAACTATGGCTTGCTAATTTGAAAGGTCAAATACATGAATGGGTCATATGACATTGATCTCAGAATACCTTTATGACAAACGTGATAACAGTTCAATCTTGGCTAAATTGAAGATGGTTTAGAAGTTAACAATTATAAGAACTTTTCACTAACATATGCTGCTGACAAAGGAGAAAATATATGCAATTCTGCATTTTTTGCTTTCTATCAAGCAATCATATGTTGGCTCCTTATCACGCTATGACACTTCCATTTTGTCACATTCCAAAAAATTACTGGAGAAATACACTGTCACTCATCTTACACTGTTATATTTACCTATTACAGAAGGCCGGAAACAAAGATTTTGTTTTCAAGAATATAAGATTTCTTGTCCAAGACACAAGGAAGTTTGACTGCAAAACACAGATAAAAATGCGAGAAATTTTATTTTTTTCAGAGAACAAGGTAGTTCTACTCATGTATAAACAGAACAAATCTGGTAATAAATCAGATATGCGGCATGACTCCTTTTCTTCCATCCTCACTCAAAACAAGCAAACACACCTATAGAGGTTCCAGTCTGGTCTGCAAATGAAAAGGAGGAAGGTGATCAATGCAAAATTAAGCATTAGGGTTCTTATTTATAACATTGATTATTGTATACTGATATCAAGAAATTAAGGTTGCAAGTAGCAGGCAGCTGAGTTATAGTTTGAGTTTAATCAAGTCCATTACTTTGTTAAATTTAGAGTAACCTTGTCTTGAGAGAGGGAAATTGAGGAGCTGTTATATACTTATCATCAATAAGGGACCACAAAGAAAAATTTATTTATAGAGACTTTTGAAGGAGAGGGGTAAGACTTGTGACAAGCTGGCAGACATATACTAGATAAACTTTACTGCTAAATGAGTTACAATATAAAGTGCTCAGTATTTGGATCAGCTAAGGCTCAACTTAAACTTTGCTTTAGCTTCAAGTTTAATCCTTTGTGGTTTCCTTTCTCTGTGTTTACTTTTCAAGTTACGTTACACAAAAGAACACAAAAATGACAAGGAATGCTTTTGAATATTAAGAGGCTGGAATAAGCAAGAAACCAAAACTGAATTTTAAACAGTACAAAGTTAATTTGATCTTCCAATGTTATTTAATTTTAAACATTAATAGAATTTGCTATTTAAATTTATCCCCTCCATTTTTCTGGATATTGTGAGCAAAAACAAACAATTATCACAAAATGCATGGTATACAATGGTTTGATTCACCAATGTGGCAAAGGCCTTTCACTGTCTATCCATAAAAAGGGAAATAATTTGTAAAATGTAAGACATTCTGCATCTTGAGTGTATATTTATTCATCCATGTGAAATTAAAGGTTACTTTAATTTTCAGACCCCTGATAACAATTACTGATGTGCTGATTTGTTGTACAGGTTATGATTTTAGCAGAAATAGTGGAAGAAATTTCTGGACATGGAATTTTGTTGCAAATGTCTGTTTAAGTCAGTTAAAAACTCTCCTGTTTCAAGATTACATGATTGCCACACCAGAACCTTTTGTATTCTATATTGTGCACCATGTATGATTATGGTTTCAATAATAAAAGGTGCTGACTCAAGAACTTTGCAAAATATCTCTACATACAAAGAAATAGATTGTGGTTATGTACTCCAAATAGCAGGTCACATCAGTCTTCTGTAAGGAAGTAGCAGAAATTGCTATGGTGGTTTTGGTGGATGGAGAGAAACATCCACCAAAACCACTTTATTCTATGTGTTATGAGTTATGATAATCAGGTTATGATAATTAGGTATTCAGTGGTAAAATTTCTTAGCAAATGAGTTTCTTCAGCAGCCACAACAGCACTATTCAATCAAGAGATTGTAGCTCTGAGTTAGACTTTGCTACTCTAACAATTAAAGCTATAGTCTCCGTGGATCAAGAACATCTGTTGCTCGAGTACTGGCAGATACCATCGGTCAACATATTGACCGAGTGTCTGTCGATATATCAGCGGGTACCAGACCAACAAATCGACCATGTATTGGCCAAAATGTCGACCAACATAGGTCACCACTTGACTGACAGGTATGTCAGACGATACTTGGTCAACACTTGACTGATACTTAAGCGACACTTGGCTGATACTTTACAAATACTCAGACAACACTACTGCTTTTTTGGTGGGTTCTTGTTAATGAGCTCTTTCCTCTCTACTCAAACAGTAACTTTCTTTCTCTAACCCTTTGAAACTCTTCTTTCGTGTCCCCTGTGGATGAAGCGAAGGAACTAGGAGAGTGCTGCCTTTTCAGCAAAACAACGGTTATCTATACACATATACCACCGACAGTCCTCCAATAGGCTGCCAACTGTCAATCGCAATGTAATGGTTGAGGTGTCAGCCGAGTGTCAACCAACATATTGACCAAGTATCAACTGATAGTGGCAACTGATAGTCTGCCAACTTGAATAACATGACAACTGGCAGTGGGCCACCTACGACCGCATGTCAACGATTGACATGCGGACTTAGCGTAAACCACCCCTCGATAGGCATGTCGACGGATAGTATTGGTCGATACTTGGCCAACTAATGATATAAGTACATGTGAACTGTCTCGCACCCCCTCTACCCCAATTTTAACAAAGTTATCATCGTGTATTATGTCATTCTTTTCTTTTTAGATTATAAAGCTGATTTGAAGAAACTCCAGGACGTATCTGAAGTTGGATTTGATGACCTATGTAATAAGGCAAACCAGTTACGACCTGATATTCCTCCTTTGACTATGAGGAGAAAAGGGAATTTTGTCTTAGATATTGATGAAAAGTCTCAGAAACCTATACCAACTGGCAAATTGAATGGTGAATATGTTTCCCTTCACACCAATGGGGATGGAAATTGTTTGTATCGAGCAGCATCAATATTAGCCTGTGGAGATGAAGGTAAACTTCTAGAAATGCGAGTGAGAACAGTGGCGGAGCTTGCGTGTAACAAATAACATTATTTAACTGTCCCTTATAATAAAGAAAGAATTCATACTCAAAAACGATATATACTACGTAAATCAAGTCGCGAGGGAAGAGACGAGTGCTCAGGAGAATTGAAGACATCGGATCTTGAAGCAGAATTTAAAGAAGTGGTACGTGACACTTATAAAGAGTCCACCTGGGCGTTAGACTGGCATCTTCAGGCGCTGCCAACTGTCTTTCGGCGTCCGGTAAAGTTGTTTTTGGTTGGTTGGGCTCCAGGGGTGTTTTAATGATGCTATTCATCCTCGGGAGAGTTTTTCAATGTTTGATTCTCTGGTAATCATATGGACATCAACTGAGCCTTCAGAAGAAACGATGCCAAATCATTTTGTTCCTCTAGTTCCTGCTGGCGAGGTTCATTCCTTAGTGAAAGGTAAGCTCAAAATTCTTCTTATAGTTTTTATTAAATGTCTATTTTTTTATT